CTACTCTTCAACAAACTGAGTCAAAAACGACCTCGTAGGACTGCTACAACACCAAAGTCCTCTAGCAAGCCACGGACACACAGTCTATCCACTACCCCAGAAAAGTCCCCAAAAAACACCGGGTAGTGAGAGCAGAGCTTGCAGGTGCCGGGAAGGGCAACATGACCTCAGCAGCTTGCAATAGCCTAAGGCTTAAGAGTTCATCTCGTCTGCTGCATGATCTGCTGCACCAGGTCATCATCATAAGTGAGCTCATAAGATTCCGGTTCCGGACATGTTCCGATCTTCATGCACCATCGGCCTGAGGCCCGCGCGGGTCTGCTGCGACCCAAATTAAAAGCAAGCTAAGAGCTACGTGTAAACACCTAGGTCAGTCGTCTCTTTTTGGCTGCTCTCCCAATGATAGCGTAGAAAAACAAGGACAGCCGCCGAAAACAAAACGATACCCGGGCGCTGCGCCAGTGTTTCCAACAGTGTGTCGCGATCTTAGGGTCCCGAACCTGCTGTTCAGCACAGAAGCACTTGTGGCTTAGGTCGTCTAACTAACATGAGGGGCTTGTGGGTTACCAAGCCGAAGCTACGACAACGGCTCCAAGCCAGCACCGGCAGTCGAGCGGCATGGGCTGAGTCTTAACGCAAGACATGCTTCGCGGATAGGACATGGACTTGTTCGAACTGATCTAACCCTTATAAACCCTAAACCTCCTCCACATTGGCCGAAAGGAGTTGGAGCTTTCACAAAGCTCCCATTTCAGCCGAAGCTCTGCTGACATGAACTCCCACAGGAAATCGGGCTACATTGAGGGATCCGGATGCGCAATCAGTGAGTCCATCCATGTAGTCCATGACAGTGTGACAGTCTGAGTGTTTGGCTATTTCGGCTTCACGGCGTAGAATACTGGGCTGGGGGGACTTACAAACCTTGCAGAGGGACCGGTCAAAGAACGACGATGACGAAAAGGGCAAGGATCAGGATTATTCTGATTCACAGACAGCCGTTGATTGACAACAGGACCGCAATGGCAGCAACCAGTTCTCAGCCATTGTATTTAGGAATGTTGATAGCGCAATGTACAAAATGGGCCATTGACTGCCATTGATAGTATCGTTAAAGTCTCACCGTAAACAGCACAGACTCTACCAGAACAGCACGCCGTTTTCGTACTGCTTCGGCCACATGTGATTACAGCGGCGCGGGCGTTCGCCAGCTCACCATAGCCTACCAGGCTGTGCTCGCACATTCTGGACCCTTACTTAAAGGCTCATGGGACTTAGTAACCATAAATAGGTTATGGTTTGGATAACCCCACTTAGGGGATTTATCACCCCAATTGTAACCTAATTACTAAGTCCCATGATCCTCTAAGTAGCCTTAATTATCCTCGACCCCATAGTAAACGCTTAACGCACGTGCCATCCGTCAAGCTGAGAACGAAGCACGGACGACGGTATGTCAGAAATTGCGATGGCAACAAGACTACTGACGAAAGAGAGGACAGAGCCAGCATAACAGGAAAGAACTCATGCATAAATACATACGTATATGTAGCCAGCCGTAGATATCTCTCTATTACTCTCTATATCTCTTTCTATCTCTACCCCTTTGTTTTTGTACATATATATATATATATACATACACATGTTGAAACACATGTCTATATCATCCTATATATACCTATGTCAATTTCTGTACTTATCGACTGATCGATGGTTCGACGCAGCTATCTATCTGTCGACCTTCCTGCCCAATTATCTATATATCTAGCTGTCTACGTACGTACGTGCCTGTTTAACCTATCCAATCTTTTCAATCTGTCCATCCGTCCATGAATGCATCAACCTATCGATCCACCTAGCTCTTTGTCTATCTACGTACCGGTCTGTTTATCTATCTATCTATCTGTCATCACAAGTGATGATGACAAGCTCGCACAGCAAAGGCCAACGCGTTTAAACGCCCCTGATTCGATTTATTGAGGGTTTCGGGGTGTGGGGGACTTGCTGTTTAGGGTGACTAAGCCTAAGCGCTCCTGAGGAACAGATCTGCACATTGCTTGCTATCTAGATAGACCTCGGACCTTCTCTATGAGCTGCAAGGAACGAGCACCAAGCCTTCAGCTCTGGCTACATGAACCTCTGAGTGATTCAATCCCGAAGCCGACATTGAGTCCGACTGCAAAAGGATTTATGCAAAAACAGAGGTCATCCAAGTTGGGATGCCTCTCTAGGGCTCTAGGAGAGCGAAGTGCGTGTGGTCCCCGAAGCTGCAGCCTTGTCTAGGGAAGCCCAGGTGCGCGTCAAAGATGTGAAGAGATGCGAGGTCTCTAGCTAGCCGCGAGCCTTTGCCTAGCCCAAAACTGCTCAAGACTCCCACAAAAGCCGACTCACAGCAAAGGGGTTCGGTCGGAACCTATGAAATTCTAGAATCCACTCGAAATCGATCGGTCTAACCTATACTCTCACGTTTGTTGTAATGGCCCTAGACGTTCGTTATGATCAATAAAATTTCTATACATTTATCAATTTAAAAAAGTGGCACGCTGCCTGAAAGCACAGGAGGGGCAGCTTGGGACCACATGCCTGAACACTTCGGAGTTGGACTTTCAACTTTCAGCCAAAACGCTCCTTCGGGATTGATGAGTAAGGTAACTATACTTTTATATTTGGTTATATCCCCAGTTAAGGTACTTGTAACTGTACTTACTCAGTCCCATGAACCTCCAAACGAGCAAAAATGTGGTGCCCAAACAGAAAAACGCAAGTTCAGACTCTTAATTAGCAACCCTTCGGGGAACCGGAGTGTGGCAAGCCGGTAGTAACCTTCACGGTGGGGAACTCTTAATAGGAACCCGTAAAGCCGTACAGCAGCCCTGATTGTAACCTGCAATCTGGGTGCTCCTCAAACGAACCCGCAACGAGCTTGTGGCTCATGTCCTAGATACGGCCATTGTCTCCAGTCAGATATGGAGCCCCGTAATAAAGGGGCCTTAAGAACCAGGGAAGGGTTTGGGAGTATGCTACACAAATAGCAGGAATTACTCTTTTTCAATCCTCCATATTATGTTGTCCAATGCTCCTTCAAGTTCTGCTGGGCCTCTTCACGGACTGTTTCCGGAAAGCCCAGGACTATTTCTGCAAGCCGACATCGCTCTTCAGGCTCCATGCTCAATACACCTTGAATCCTGTAGATGCATAGGACCGACTGTAAACCTTCTCATAGTCCCCATTGCCCTATTCTAACAGAAACCCAACCAAATACCCCCCCCAATCCCTATTCTCGTGATTAAGACCCCTATGGCGAGCTGGGAGAGCTTTTTGGGGCCAAAGGAAAGGCTACAAAAGCAAAAAGTGGCATTGTAAGGGGTTGGTGCCTGGGGTTTGTAGCTCCACTCGCCAATCTCGAAAAGCACACACGAAGCAGGTACAGTATGAGGATACTTTCGCGCCTTTCTCTCGTTCTTTTGTCTTTCTCGCCGTATCTTCGGCGTCTTTCTATACGTCCTAGTGTCCTGCAAATCCGAGATCTCTCTCTCTCTCTCTCTCTCCGTCCCCCTCTCTCGCTCATACGTCAAGTCGTTGCTGCTTCGGCGCTTTTGCTTTGCTTGTCATTAGGCAGAACTGCACGACTGTACATGACACAAAATTGTGAGACCCTTTGTAATCATAGGGACCTGCAAATAAGGGCACCCCTAGTTTTCAGATCCCTCTGCCGGCTCGCAGTTCATCCCGGCATGGCCCTGCTTTGATTGTCACGAAATGCCCCATCCTCCACATGTACTCTATACATATACACACATTGTAAACTTATATACTTTCTACCACATATAGATGTGTGTGTGTGTGCGCGTGTTTGTTCAGATCTGTATTTGTGTGTATACATGTATATGGTAAACATATACTCTCACTCTATATCTTTAGACATGCACATATTTCTGCATGATAACAATGTGATATATGCGCAATATAATACAGCATACTGTAATACAATAGAATAACCTACAAGATAGTATAAAAGAATATCACACAACCTAATGTGGCATGCTATATTATAAAATAAGACATGATGCTACCATGAAACATAACATGCAACAATATGCATATATATATATATACATACTTCTGATACTGCAACATGGTATATTATAATTTTGGTTACTAGGATATAACAGGCTAGAACATAAAAGTATAAAACACAACACAGCATAGGACGTAAACAAGAACATCATAGAGCGTAGTCGAATATAACATGTTAAATACAGACATGAATACATACATACGTACACACTAAATACATGCATGCATTCATGCATGCATGGATGCATGCACGCACGCACACATGCACACATGCGTACATACAGACCTACATACATACATACAGACATACATGCTGTACATGGAAGCCTGCGTCACTCATCAACATCAGTAGAAAGGCTTTACCTGCTCGGAAAAGTGTTCGTGGTTTACGAGCCTACTGAATGCAGGTGTTGGCGAAAGTGCCAAGGTAACTTTGGTTGCTCTTAAGTGTGTTCGGCATGTGTTGTCCCTTGCAGACACTGCAGTACGATGCATCGAAACAGCGGCATATGCGGAGTTCTGGAGGACGGAGAGGTGTGACAGTGGAAAATTCCCTGCTGCAGAGAAGCTGCGGCAGGTTGTGCACTCAAAGGCTCATGGGACCCAGAAGTATGCTAAGTTGGGGTACAGGTAGTTGATCTATAGCTCCAAGTATACAGTATCCACTAAAAGTCGATGGATACGCCGAAACTAATACTTCCAAAAATCAAAGAAAACCCTCAATCCCTCGACCCTCTAAGCGGTCAGAGCTGGCCAGCCATGTTGCGCAAAAGCAGCCTGGCTTGGACGGAGAATGCAAGCTAGGCCGCTGAACTCGAAAGCAAACCAAACCCTAGAAACCTATATAGAAACCAAGAACCCTGCAATGCAAAGGCTGATGGAGCCCTTCAGCCGTGGTCCTGCCTCCTGCAATTCCATTTATTGTCTCAATGCCTCTTGGTGCTCTTCAGCTCGGTAGAGGCGATAGCGAGTGCCTCGGAGGAATCGAGCCGACCCTTCTCAGGAGTAGGTTTAAGGGGAGTTTACCGGATGATGATGATCCCCCTTAGGCTTTACCTTAACCCTGAATAGCCTACCTTTTTAGGGTTCCTTACTATGATTTCTTTATATAAGTCCTTAAAAATGTAGGTTCTTCGGGGTTAAGGTAGGGCTTCTAAGCAAAAGACAGGGCTTTGGGGGTTGTGTCGGGGTGCAGAGGCGGATTTTGAGTTTAGCATTTAGCGGCTAAGGGCTCCAATCCGAAGGGCCGGAGCCTGGGAGTCGGGTTATCGGGAATTTGGGAGTTTCCGCAAACGGGGGACCCCAATATAGTACCCTGAATACTAGGATCCTTTTTTTGAGGACCCCAATATAAGGTACCCCGAATTATCGGAAACTCCCAGATTTCTTGGAACCTCAACGGCAAGAAGAGCAAGTGCAAGAAAACACACAGCTGCCACAGATCAGTAGATGATCCCAAACTGATCACTGCAAGGCAGGTGCCCAGCAGCACAGCGCGTAGACCATGGCGTGATGAGACCTGACAATTGTCGGCCATTGTGTTAGACTTCTCTTTCAAGCTCTGTGGGGCGATAAGGGTTTGGATGGGTGTGAACTGCAGCAAGTGTTCATGCGGCTGCCTGCGAGTCGGGAGTCCCTGCGGTACAAGGAGCTTCAGACTTTAAGAGGGTATGTTTGCCAGAAGTTAAGAGGTTAGGGTTTCGACTCGCGCGCTCGCAGACGCAGGCACGGCTTCTGGGTCCAAGGGTTTAGGGTTTAGGGTTCCAGGATTGTATCTGCGAATCTGGACAACTGCATGATGTGAGGATGTTTCTGAGCACAGAACTTACTGGCTCGATTCTCAAAACTCATTGGGAAGCAGCGGTGAGGGCTGCGCTGCGGGAGTGGGGGGGGGGGCTTCAACTTAAGTCGGGCTTCCCCTTCGTGTGACAACCCTAGAATGCAAGAGTTTGTAGAACGGCTAGAGGGTTCAGGGATGTGTAGGGACTGGAGACTCGGTTCAGCGTAACACATAAGAATTTGCAGGGAGTTTTCAGTGTTCAAGGGCGTGGGGTGTGACGACCGGGGGGTTCCGGATTGGGGTTGTGGCCGCTATCTTCAGGACTCAGGGCTTAGAGGAAAGGACCAGGCTGGCAAGAAACAACCGTCCTATGAAGATAATTGCAGCCCGTATAGTTTCCATGCCCTGCATCTCTGAGCCAGAAGCTTGAACCGTTCTTGGGTGAAGTAGTCCTTCATGGCCGGGAATCAAACGGTCATGTTGGTAGGGCGTCGGGATGAGGGACAGCCGGCTTCTGCTCTATGCAAGCGGTACTGACTAGTGAGTGCTGGACTGCTGTAGAGGGTTTTCTTTACAAAGAATGAGTCTAAGCTGTAGGACGACAGCTCTTTGGAAGGCTGCTACATCTGAAGCCCTGCGCAGAAAGCGCCATGATCACCAGCCAACTCGGATTATTGATGACAGCCGTATTAGGGGTAGAGGTGCGCAAAAGTAGCAAGCAACGAAGCACTCAAACCGCCCAGGCTACCGCATGTGATAAAACAACGGAAACAACGGAGGTGCTGCGACCTACAATGGCCCTTACGGGGGCGAAGTTCCACCGATGTCGCTACAATCACCACCACCACCACCACCACCACCACCACCACCACCACCACCACCACCACCACCACCACCACCACCACCATCACCATCACCATCATCATCATCATCATCATCCTCGTCATCACCAGCACCACTACCATCGTCATCTTTTCCCGTATCCTCATCCTCATCAACAACAATAGCAGTCACCAGCAATAATAACATCATCACCATCATCATCATCGCGACATCCAGAATGGCACACAACTGGCGAGGCATGCAAGTGAAGAAGCTCGTAGAAGGAACAAGGGTATGGTGTACGTGCAAGACTGACTGAATCCACAGGTATAGGAGGTTTAGTGGTCAGAACAGCGTGCTGGTGTACCTTGTAGCATGAGCATTTCGGCAGCGGAAGAACTTCTTCCCACAGTGCAGCAGTTGGTAGGAACTACACCACACAAGCGAGCCCCAAACCATGCAGCCTTGCTTGAGACTGCCTGGCTCGGCCTCTAAAAATCTGAACGCCAGCAACATAGAGCAGGAACTGAAAAGATATCGGCGGCTGAACTACAGGCTGAACTACACGTACTTTCAGAACTGTTTAACTGCGACGAAGCTAGTAGCGACAAGACTCGTAGACTCGTAATAGCGTGTCCGAAAGCCAACAGAATCTCCGTCCCGCATTGCGTCCTTTGAGGTGAAAAACTTGAGCTTGCGCAAGGTGGTCTGCGGAGCAGAAGGCAGGTCTCATTCCGCGGGTTTTGGGCATTTGTTCAGCAAATTAGTGGGAAGGGCTAGGGATATAAAACTGGCGAAAGTGCGAGAGGCACCGCCTGATGAAGGTGATGATGAATATAACTACTTAATGGCTGTTGGATACTCACCAGTCGTTTCCCTCCTTGTCTTCTTATTGAAACTGTCGTCGGCCTTTTGGGTGCCTTTGTCGAGGCGGTTGAGGTTCTCGTTGTGACTCTGGTTCAGATCGAGGCTGTGGCCGTGGTGCTGGCTCGGGAGTTGGTGACTTACGTTTTGTCGGCACGATGGCGGCTACTATTATCATGGTGTTTGTTTCTACGCTTTGGCTCTATTCTTTGTCGATGTGTACGGGACGGGCTGAGGCTCGGCCAGCATGAGTGCCTCTCGGCCATAAAGAACAATGCAACACCAACTCATGCTGCTGAGTCCTCACGGATATGGTTTGCGAAGAGGATGCTTGAAGAAGATCCAGGTGAGTATGGGGTTTCGGGGCCCCTTATGCCGTAGATTGTAATAAGGAACCCCCAAACTAGTAGAGGTAATATTTAGGCCCCTATATTACAGCCGTCCGAGGACGTGGCAGATGGGCCAAACGTTGGTGGCTGGAACTTCGGATCCCCATCCAATACTCACTTCATCAGAGGAGTCGGCAGAAATCTCGGCCCCGCACGAGAACTGAGAATCCACTTTTAAGTTCAGGGACCTATACGTTCAGCACGGCACACAAACCAGCAGACGACGCATTCACACGGCCTCAGACTGCCTCAGACTACTCCGGGAACGTAGCCCAGAACCCTATAAGCCCTAATTCCTGAAACCCTATGTGGAGTTCAAACTGGGGTCCCTGTTCAGGTCCCCAAAATAATAGTACGGCTTAGTACGGCATTCTTCTAAACAGGACCCCTAAACAGGGACCCTAACTTAGAGAAGCTCCCATGGCAAACATAATGCACACTCGGACCTCGGTCACATGAGATGTGTCGTAGCTGTGAAGCTTTTCCAAGAAAACGCCTGGCTTCTTCATCAGCCTGAGAAGCGCTTGGCTTTGGACCACTGGGCTTTAAGTTTAGCGTTTCAGGTTTCAGGCTTCACTTTAGCTAATTATGTGTATACATATGCATACATACATACAAACATACATGGAGAGAGAGAGAGAGAGAGAGATATATATATATATATGTATATATAGATAGACAGATAGATAGATATGTATCTGTATATGTATAGATATAGATTAGGGTGAGAGTAGTCGGCTCAAGCCCTCGAGCCGTGTGTTTCGGCGCTCACACTCGGACGATCCTGGCGAGGCATGTGGTTCGAGGTCTGAAGTGCGAATGAAACATCACTACATGGGAGTTGTCAAAACACCATAAGAAATCCAACAACTAAATGCCTTCTCACTCTCCTCTCAACAACTGGCCTGATCACACGGGTTTATGGTCTGCTGAACTTTGGTGTCTGCCTCTGGGAAAAAGGCCCAAAGTTCTGACAGCTTGCTTGCGTTATGTTGTATGTATTCAAGTTTGGGGTCAGGTTTGGGTTTCCTTGCCTCCTGGTCCTACGGTTGATGATATATATCCTGCATTACATTAAGGACCCTAAACTATGGGAACCATGGTATATTCCCTATTATGGGTAATGCAAGAATTATAATTATCATCAACAGTAGTACTGTACCGTTCAGCTGTACCTACATCGAGGGCTTGGGGCGGCTTTCATCCCTCCCGCAGCAAGGGGGGTTCCAATAATTGCAGCCCGCCCGCCCGCGGACGCCATTCCAGCTCAGATCCCGATCTTCTCCAAGGATCACCATGGTGGCGAAGAAGACCTTTTCCACTCCGGAGTTTTGGATTCGTATCACTCTCATTCTATCGAGGTAGTAGGAGATCGTGTCTAGAAGATAGCCTAAGTTCCCGAGATATGAACAGTGGGTGAGAATTCTGGGAGGATATTCTGCTTGAGCTCATAACATGCTCCCGGTTTCGCACATCTCCCGTCAGCCTTATCCATGTCGTCGAAAGGCTCTGTAACCTTCCAGATTTCCTGCATGCAATCCGCATTCGACGAAAGCAGAAGTTTGCGCATGGGAATCCAGAGATAGGATTATGATGGCCCAAGCAGGATGACAGCAAACCGGACACTCAACTTCGGGTTCTGCTTGATGTTCCTAAACGCAAACTCCAAAAAGTTCCCGAAAGTAGAGGCCGGCGTGGAATGGCCACCCAACCCCCACCGCAGTCCTGACACGCCTCCGGCGTGCATACATGGAGACCTTCTTTCCTCATTATGATCATGTTCTCTTCTGGGTATTGTTACGGTTGTCCTTATTCTAGGACTTTCAACATCGAGGACAGACAACATGGGTTCACTCATCGCTGTCGTTCGAAGCATAGGGACATTGCCGGGATCTGTGCCTTCGTTGGAAACTTGGCATGACTTCTTGCGTGTTCTTTGGTTTACATTCGTAGGCAAATTAGCACACATACGTAAATTCAGGGTGCCCCAATATGCCCCACCTCGCGCCTGCTGGCGGGGAATAGCTTCGATTGCTCAGAACAGCTAGGGTCGCACTAGGACAACTGCACCTCGAACCGGACCGACCAATGCGCCAGCCTTACACTCAACCTATGACGAGGCCACAAACACTTACCCCTACTAAGGGCACTCCTTCGGCGGACGTTAACGCCCTGCTCATGACAAAGAACTCTTAGCCTTGGCCTTAGCCTGCAGCGGACGAAGTAACCCCCTGTGGGTCGGCCAAAGCAAAGTCCCCTCTGAGCCCTGCAAAGGCTGAGGCTGATGAGCAGTTGATGGATACATGTAGCAATGTAGCAATCTTGCCCCAGAGTCTCGCAAATATCCCAATGCTTCATCGATCACCAATCGCACGGTCATTATCGTGGGCCTGGTAGGGCCATAATTATATCAGACTGCAAGCCTGAAACAAAACCCGAAATTACACCTGCAAGAGAGCAACCGCAAAGTTGCAGCCCAGCCACGCTGTCTTCAGGCTGTACGCGCAAACCTTACTGTGCATGTGGACTACCATTAGCATCTCTGCCATTCGTGTCCACGGTGCAGATCCGGCGTGCTTCATGTTGCACGCATCAGGGTTTTTTTTGAGGCAGACATGGCTTCCACACTGCCGACTACACGATGTTATCCTGCAGGACGATGCTGCCCCTCCTCAAGTGCCACGCGTTCTTCACTACTATAAGGGGCCTTAATCATTAGAGAGCTTTGGGGCGCACGAACTATACTAAGACTATAACAAAAACTATAATAAGGAACCCCGACTCTTACTAATTGTTAAGGCACCTATATCACGTTTTCTTCACTACAGTTCCCTTCAGGCAGCCAGCCAGGAGCCATCGCACGACAGTCCGACGAGTCTCGGCTGAAGTGACGACTCCGCCCTCTACAAACAAGGGTGACTCCGAGTTCAGGGAAGAGGCAAACAGCTTAAAAGCAGTTTTCTTGTGTAACTAAGCTCACAAAATCATGCTTCCTGAATGATGGCACTGATAGGGGACGTTGTAGGACCCCCAAATAGAGCTCGAGGTCCGTCTTGAAAAGCTCTTAGTATTGGTCGTCGCTACTTGCGGCCTTTGCCATGTCTGCAATCAGAACCGAAGCCCAGATATACCAAATAAATGTCCCTGCATACATGCTATGCAGCTATTCACTCGCCACACCATCTTCAATCATGGCCCTTCTAACCATGGATCAGTTGTAAAAAACTTAACCACACTTATAAAACCCTTTTTCAGGTGTCTGCCCCCGCACCTCTGATCTTTGCCAGGAGACCACGGTGGGATCCTTGAAGACCCAGTCGAGGAACTCATCGTACTGGAGCATTCCGTCTTTGCCTCAATTGTGGGAGTTTCCGAAAATTAGGGGTACCTTCTTTGGGGGTCCTTTAAATAAGGATCCTACTATATAGGATACCATATTAGGGTCCCCTATTTTCGGAAACTCCCATTACAGGGGAAACTTCTGTCAATGCAGGGTAAGCAGGGCAGAACGCTTCTTGCAGTGCACGCGCCCTCTTGCGGTGTGGAGCACTATAGGCCCGAAATCCCGAACATAACACCGCAAAGACAGGTGTGAGAACCAAGGCCCGAAGAAACACGGTGCAAGGTTCCATTATACAATGATATAGTAATAGTAATAATATAGTAATAATATAGTAATAATATAGTAATAACATAGTAATAATACAGTAATAATAAAGAACCGACAGAGCCCATGTGATTCCAAGGAGCTAATGTCTGCTGAGTTGAAGCACTTCGCCACCTGGGGGACGGTTTAGATCTCTGCTTAGAACTGTCTTCGGGGTCACTTTGCATGTGAATGTTCCGATTGCTTCGCTTCGGCCTGCGATCCGGCGTCGAAACAACGTTAGGCTCGGAATCCGCAGTCCTACCGATGCCTGCGCTTCGTCCATACCAAGCTGTGTCAGCGCCGCATGGAGCTCGTAACGGCTGATTGCACCTCAGCAAAGCTCCGAGGCTCAAAACTCAAGGGTTTCCTTAACCGCCCCAAAAGCTTTTTTTTTTGAGGACTTATACAAGGAAATAATATTAGGGAACCCTAGTCTACGATTTGTACGCATGCACAGGCAGGCGACCGAAAATCGCGTGAGGGGTGGGGCCGTAGCGTACTCGGATGCTCTGGCTTCATGCTGCACTTCTGGCGATCTACGACTTGTACCCATGCACGAGCAGGCAACAGAAAATCGCGTGTACAGACAATGGATGTGCAGCTCCTAAGCGAAAAGCGAGAGCTTGTTGGTGTGCAGAACAAAGCCACGAGCTGACAATAATGAAACAAGAGCGGATTTTAGGTACTGCCCCCTTTCCGATGCATATTATTCAACTATTACTGAGTGGGGGCCGTATCCAAAGCGAATCCAATAAGAACGGATACGCATCAGCCACCATGCATGCAACCCACAACAATACCAGCACGATTGTCTCGATTCGTACTTGTACTTAACTACATCTACATATATCTAATCAGCCATGAAATGTCTACAGCGTAATGCACACTTTACAGACATGTATGGCGGGTTCTCCAAGAGTCGAAGCACCTGATTTCGGGGCCCTTGAAATATTCTGCTATCTAGAGTTCCCCAGGCCCCAGCAAACGACCCGCGACAGAAAATCAGCGAGCGGCCATCACCGGTGATGTCCCACTTCTTGAAGGCCTCCTCAACCTGAGAGTATGTTTTCAGGGTTGCTTCATGTGATCACGGGCTGCCCGACCCTCGAAGCTGTTGCCCGCAAAGCCCGCTTGAGTTTGCTCTGCTCTATGTGCCGAGCTGGACCGGACGCCCTTTGGGCTGTCCTACAGGAGGACCAGGAATGGTATGCCGCTGTCAAGGAAGACCTTGCTTGGCTGGCCTCCGATCAGGACCAGCACTGGCCATCAGTGCATGGCGCGGCATGGCCCGAATGGCACGCCCTCCTTGTACAACGGACTGCTTGGGTCAAACGCCAGGTTACTGTGCACTTGGCAAAAGACCACGAGCTCTTCCAATCCAGGCAGGCGGTGAATGCGGCCCTTTGGGCGATCTACAAGAAGGCGGTCGGAGCGCTAAAGCTCGAGGACAGCATCCAGATCACTACCTGGATATGCCGCCCGTGCAAGAGATCTTTCAAGTCCAAGGGTGGACTTGCCGCCCATTTCTTGAAAAGCCACGGCCGTCGAGCCAGATACAGGATGGTAGTCTCAGGCACAGCATGCAGCGCTTGTGGCACCCAATATTGGTGCACCAATCGACTATCCCGACATCTTCGAGACAACCCATCCTGTGCCATGACCCTCCGTGCACACGGCCTATTTGCGGACACGGTTGCCCCAGGCCTCGGTAGCCGCGGATGGCGCAAGAACGCCACGGAGCACTTCCATCCCGCTCTGCCTCAGCCTGCGATGCCATTCCTCGAGCCGAAGCTACACGAGGCAATGGACAATGCTGCGGAGGATGCCCACAAGGAGCTGTGCAACATGTTGCTGGTGAAGGAGCTGTCGACGACAGTCAACGACATTATCTACCAGATCCGGGAGATCCTCGACAGGTACCCGCCAGACGAGGAGATCCTCCTCCGCATCGAGGGTGAGGTCAGCGAGACCCAGGACGCCATCCTTGAGGACTACTGGACACAGCTGCAGCTGGATGCTGTCCTGGCTGCAGTCGGTGCACTACGGCCACTTTCGTGGCTTGCGGATGACATCCACGACTACCGTGAGGCCACCACCAACTCCTACAACGAGATTGCGACCGAGCTCGACAAGATAGATTGGGACTCGATTTGGGCTGCGAGTCGAATAAAGCACGTGACCCCATCCAGAGAGACATTCGAGCTGCCAAACGCCTGGGAAGCTGAATTGGTAGGCCGCTTGAAAACTGTGGATACTTCAGCCGTGCGCAACCATTTGTGGTGTATAGTCCCTGACGCGCTGAAGGCTGCATGGTTGCAGGCCCTGAAGGGACAGGAACCACTGCTCTATGCCCAGCCCGCGTTTTGGGACCTCCCACTTGCAGTGCCTTTTAGGCACTTGAAACAGCTTGCATCCTAGTTAAGCCGCGTACTACCTCTGAGTGCATTCAAAGCAAAAGGGTTGCTTCGGGCTCGGTGTGCATTTGGGAGTTTCAGAAAATGTGGGACCCTAATATAGTCCCTAATTAGTCGGATCCTTATTATAAGGACCCCAACATAAGGTACCCATAGGTACCCCTAATTTTCGGAAACTCCCATTTGGGCTACAACGGCCCAAGGGGAAGGAAGACTTCGCGAACTGAACGCGAAA